GACAGTAGAGGAATGCTAGTGTACCGGATCCCCAGGAGTACTCTGCAATATTGTCGATACCTCCATGCAGCTCATTCATAAGCGAAGCACTGATCCTGCCCCCACTCCTGTCAAGAAAGAGTGTCGAGGCTAACAAGATCCACACCCAAGCTTGCACCTGAACAGCGGGGAGGACCCTACGACAACACTCCTCAATCAATATGTCGCTCACACCTCCGTGGCTCCATGCACGTTTTAACTCAGCCAACGGCATCCCAAGCAATCCCGCGACCTGCATCTTCAAAATTTCAGCTTCCGCAGGTTGGGTCAACAAGTAACCATCAAGTGGAATTGCCAAAATGTGTGCCACATCATGCATCATAATGGTCATCTCCCCAAACGGCAAGTGGAAAGAGTTTGTGTCGGGCTGCCACCTCTCTATGAATGCAGAAATAAGCGCAAGGTCAATGTCATCATACATGGTATTAATCAGATGATACAAACCGGTATTCTGAATCTGCAACTGTGCGTTCTCTGGCAACCTCGCATACCATCCATGCAATCTAGACAAACTCTTCTTCGCTGGCTTCATCGTCAGGTAATCTCTTGGTTCTCCATTCCACAACTGATAAGCAGTGTGGCCAAGAAAACTAGGAATAACTGACCCATCACATGGCCCGCCAGGTACGTCGTCCGTCACAACCCAATCATCAGTTTCTTCGGTAGAAACCTTAGACCGTCTGCTAGTACCTGAAACGCGAATAAAGAATAGTGTATAAATACTTAATCGAATGCAATTAAGAAATTGACCAAGCAGTAATGAATGATGAAATTGTTACAAATTCGTACCTGATGACGATGCAGCTGCCTCAGGACGGATAGAGGCACCAATGGATGCGCCACCAAAATGGGAACGAGGCTGAGTAGTCAGAGGGGGACCTCTAAAAACAGTACTCTGCGGGCCTGCATGCTGAAGAGTAGTGCTGTGACCTCTAAAAAGAGTACTCTGTGGTCCGACACGAACACTGGAACTATCAGGAGTGTAAGCTGAATTCAGGGCCAATAATCCAACAAGGGACTTCCTCCCCCCCCCGGGTAGGGTGAACTGGAGTCTGATCAACAGTACGGCTAATGGGGTTCAGTACTGAGTTATCTCCAATATGTATATCCCTCCTCTCATGCAAGGAATACTCGGATGTGTCATCCTCCTCATCCACATCGTCCCCCCCACTCTCAAAACTATCCTCTGCTGATTCCTCTCCCTCAAAATCATCATCATCGTCTACGTTGGCTGACTCACCAAGTGGGCCAAACGTAGGATGTACATTTTTCACTTTTTTTAAACTTTTTTTCTTTTTCTTCTCGATGTTCGGCATACAGATTGCGCGTAACTGCATACCGATGTTCAGATCCCTCAAGAGGCAATATCCCATCCTACAAAAGTTTCAAATTTTACACGTAACTTAGATTAATTAGTTTAATACAGTTTTATATTATTTAAATACGTAATTATAAAATTATCTACTATACATCTTAAGTGTACAATTTATTAAATCTACTAACTACAATTAATAATATCTACATATTTATTTTTTTATTTTTTAACCAAAATTAAATAAATATATAATCTATTATTTAATTTTAACTACAATTAAATAAATATTTTTTATTAACCCTAATTATCTACTAACCTCTTGTATTTTTTTTAATTTGAACTTATTTATTTAATTTTCCTATACTAAGTATTTAATTTCTACATTTGATAATTTTTTGAGGCTAATTACAATTAAACCGACTAATCCAATAAATATATTTTCTATAATTATATTAATTATAATAACTTTCATAATGATCCAAATTAATTTAAAAACCGTTAAACTCCCTAAAACTACAATTGAATTCCTAAAACTACAAAAGTATTATAACTAATTTATTTACTCAAGATTAAACATATACTTTTAATAATAGTGTTTCCTAAATAAATTAAACTAATAAAAATAACTAATAATAAATAATTAAACTAAATTTCACAAGACCTACAATTACTAATAGTAAATATTAAATTACAAGTACTATACAATTTATAAATAAAAATTAAATTTAAATGTATAATATAACAAATTAACAAAAAAAAAAAAATACCGGCGCTTGGCGCTAGCCGCCTGGCGAGACTTTTCTCGCCACCCCAGCGTCCGGCGGTGAAGAAGATGGCGCCACCTTCGCCCCGGCCGGCAAGGGAGAATCTCTGGCCGGGCGTGCGGAGCCGGTGCGCAGATCCGCGCCAGCTCTGTAGCGCGGATCTGCGCGCCAGCTCTGCACGCCCCGGCGGGGTTCTCCCTCTCCGGCCGGGGCGGTGGTGGGTTTTTTTTTTTTAAATACTCCTACATAATTCTAATTCAAAAAAAAATCCAAATTTACATACCTTCAGTTTCCGTAGCTCTTTACGTAGTCGTTTCATTCGATCAGCCATTGAATCTAAGTTTTTAGGAGTTTGGATTGAGAGAATTTGAAATGAAAGATTGATTTAGGAATTGAAAAAATGAAATTAAAACTCTTAATTTATAAAATTATGTAAGGACAAAATGGTCATTTGGTATTTAATTAGGGCGCTCAAGAAAAATTTTTAGGGCGTTTAGTAGCCTCCCAGTGACTTCAAAGCCCAAGCCCCTCAAATTCAATCCGTGCAACACCAGCATTTTCTATTCAATCCGTGCAATACCAGCGTTTTCTAATAGGCTTGTTCTCCAATCCTCATCAATTATTTTCTTTCCAAAAATCTTGGACCATTAGCAGCCCACTTTTTTCATATTTTACAGTACAATCCTATTCTCTGGACTATATGAGAGTAAACGCCATTGACTCCACCGCGAACGATATTTGTTACTGACCTCTTCTCAATTCCCCATTCTCAGCCATGTATGTAATCCACCCTTTTTTTGGTTGCGAAATCATACTGGGCAAAAACTTGTAAAAGTTAAAAGAATCTCAAACTTCCAGAATCAGCCAAAAAGTTTTGAATAATCAAATAAAAGAACCAGAGTGAAGATTGTTTGACTCAAATGAGTTATAAAATTAATCAACCTTGCCAATTGATGAAGATCGGAGAACAGGGCTGGCCATAACCTCAGGCCAACGCCGGTATTTGGATCGATTAATTTGACGACTAGAACCTTAGTATTTTACAAAAAGGAATTGACAGGAAACTTGAAGCGTAACAATGATTTCGGGGGGCTTTTTCTTCCTTTGGGAATTTACTACTTCAATTAAAAAATAAAAGAAAAAACTGATGGGGAATTTACAGCTTGGCTGCCAGCTCCTTCGCGGTGGACTTTCGAGATGCCGTTTTCGAAATCAATTAATTCTGGATCACCGAATCAATAACAGTAAACCAAGCCATAATCGATAAAAGCTTGAATGGTTTTTTACTTGAAACCGAACCCAAATGATGAATCTATAATGGACGAAAATAGATCTCTAGTTTCGCGGGCTAATAACCAAACCGTAAGCCGATGTCATAAAATCAAAATTTATCCCCAAGAACTTAACCTTTTTGTTTCTTTTTTGGTGGTCTCCAAAGGACTTTTGAATGGCGTACAAGAGAGAGACATGCATGGCTCCAATTAAATAAATTTTAATTGCATCAATCCATACTTGTTGGCCGTCGAAGATTGAAATTGATCGCCAAAACCAAATTACGTAAAACAAGAAATTGTTTTAAACAAAATCGAACCAAAACCTTCTTAATTTCTCTTTTGACGAGAAGAAAATTGCATGGTGATTATTATATTTCTTACGTTCATTGCAAATAAAGATGAAAGAGTCATTATTAACAATTATTTTAGTTTTGCGCTAATAATGAGTTATATCAAAATGACTCGTTTCAATTATAGTGTTTTCTGCCAGAAATCAAATATCAGATGCACCGTTGCATTTTCGGTCGTGATTAAAAGTTTCTCTATATTAAAAAACTGAGATAAACTTGCATACATCTTGACCCCCCAAACTCCAATGGAGTTAGAAATAGTCTGAGTATGTTGTTGTTGTTGATTATAATCGTTCTTAATTTTTATGTTTCTAAACCTCTCATAAATGTATTTTTAGAACTCATACAGTACAATTGGCTTCGTATCAATTTATAATGTAAGTATTAATTGGAACACGCACGAAGAGTGTCTGATTTATTAGCTATTATACTTAGATCGAAGCGACCAGTTACCTAGCCTAGCAGTTAGCCCTCCACTTTGACTTTGAAAATATTGGTTACATTTGTCTCTGCTATGTTTTATCTTTCAGCATAAATTATGAGCAACCGATTGGTAACTTTTAATTTTTTGATTTTATCTTTAATGTTCTTCTTTTTTAGATGATTAGTGTTTTTTTCCCCAGCAGTCGATGTGGATGTTGTTGTAAATTTTTTTCAAGTTAGCTTGACCTAATTCTTTCGTATTATAAAAAGATAGTTCAACAAGGTAAAATAATCTAACGTCCAAAATTTTTTTCTGAACGATGTTTATTTTAATTTTCCATATGCTATATACAAAGATTAACTTATAACTTAAATAATGGAGAGAATGTTAAGCACACACAGAAAGACTTATAGTAACATAAATAATTAGCACACCAAATGAATCAAATTGATTGCTGCTTATAGAGATACAAAACCACACAAACATCCCGCCATCAAAAGCGTGTTGCACAAAGTCAATTAAACGAAAGAAATATTTAAGTGAAAAAGAAAAAGATATGAACACAGAAGCGATTTCCACATCCATATCAATGTTATTCCTAGCTAAATGGGAATTATTTAATGCCTCGCCGAAATTTTCTATAATAATTCATCACATCAAGAGATTTTTATTAGTCATCAAGGAATATTATGCGATTACAACACTCTCAACTGTCAATTCCGACCGATTATGGCGTTATAAATTCTGATCTTCGGAACATGGAAAACCGAAAAGTATTTCTCTTAATTTACAAAATAAGAAACGAGCAAGAAATCCAAAAAAAAAAAAACAAAAATGGAGAATAAAAGTGGGAAGAGATTTGAAGGGAAAGTTGCGATAGTCACAGCTTCCACTCAGGGCATCGGTTTTAGCGTCGCCGAGCGCCTTGGATTAGAAGGTGCCTCTGTTGTCATTTCTTCTCGCAATCAGGTAACTCATGTTGTGTATTCTTGTATTCGTTGATTTTTGTATTTTGCACTTTTTTTTTTCTTCTGTAGATTTTCATATCCCAACCATTTTCATTTCAAAACCAAAATGCAATACATATATACACAAATCATTTTATGGCAATGCGTTTTTTTATTTTCTTTTTTCCACACATTCGTCTTCGTATATGTTTATCTCTTTTATTGCTTGTCCTTGGGCAATTTTAAGTAGTAAATTCTTTTGTTGGTTTTGGTAAAAATGAAAACTAGATCTATTATGGTCTAGCTACTCTCTTATTGGCTTTGACTAGGACAAGTTCCCCATAAATTGCTTTTGTGGACGAATATGTATTATAAGACACGTTTAAACGTTGTATTAGTAACTCATGAAAGAATACTCTTAAGCTTCCTATAACGTGTTTTTATTGGGACGTTTTTCTCATACGTCCTAAAAGACCGTTCTAATAGATCTATCTTTTAGTGATTCTCGCAGTTTTAAAATGATTGTTTTATTTAAAATTTTACTTTTAATATATTTTACGCAATAAATAAAAATCTATCTTGAAAAATTATTTCAGGATGGAGGGATTAATAAACTGATCTTGTATCCATATCGATTACTTGTTGTTCGACTTCCACTTGTGTTTTAGATGATCTGACTAGGGTTTTTAATTTTTTATTAGGTGAATGTTGAGGAAGCTATTGGAAAACTGAAAGCTAAAGGAATTGAGGTTTTTGGAGTAGTATGCCATGTGTCAAATGCCCTACAGAGGAAGCATCTCATTGAGAAAACAGTTCAGGTGAAGCAAAATTACCCTAATATTCAGTAAGAAAAATGCTCTCTCTCCCTCTCTCTCTCACACACACACATAGTGACAAAATAAACAATTATTTGTTGAAAAAAAAATTCATTGGTGACTATTGATCTGGTTAATTATTTCTAAATTGAATTTTGCAATATTATTTTTCGGCTGCGCAGAAATATGGAAAAATAGATGTTTTTGTATCAATGGCTGCTGTCAATCCCTCTGTAAATGGCATTTTGGAAATAGAAGAATCTATCCTTGACAAGATGTGGGATGTCAACGTGAAATCATCCATTCTTCTTTTACAAGTAAGTCTATTATTTTTAACTCTCTAAAGGATTCTCCCATCAATCCTATTATAATAAGGTTTAATTTCAAACTATGTCCATTCAATAGAAACTCTTTTGTATTAAACGTTTGTTCGATAATATGTTTTATAAATAAGGTTAAAATTTCGGATCTAAACCTAGAGGAGTACTTGGTTCGATTAATTAATCTCATGAATTTTGTAGAGCTACCATATGAAGTCAAATTATTGGACCCGTGGAAAGTCCAAAAAGTTACCCCAAATTTAACACTTAATTATATCTCATTGAGTGTAAAAATACATTAAAAAAAATGTAGAAGACCAATAGATTCAACCCAACTAACTTCAGTCTGGGGATGCAGAGTGAAAGAATTATTTCTTAAGAGAACTTTTTATTTCCAAAACTGATCTTTCTGATTTAAATGATAATTAGTTTGAAAACTTAAGCTGTTAGCATTAATATATATATATATATATATGTATATATATATATATATTTGTAATTTTTTGTTTGGTCCGGTTCACGCATTCAATTGGTAAAATGTTGATTACCTCTCTATTTAGAGCGTACCAATGGTCCTTTTTCCCCTTCCAAATGGGTTTTAAAATCTTTGCCTTTTGTGGATATACAAACACACAATAGTACTCCTACGAGACTTTTTTAAATGTAGAATAAATAAAACTAAATACTACTTGTTTATATGTATGACTTTGGTTTAAATTTGACAGGAGGCTGCTCCGCACTTACAAAAAGGTTCTTCTGCAATTCTAATCGCCTCTATGGCCGCCTATATACCGTGGCCTTCTATGTCCATGTATGGCGTAACAAAGACTGCGCTTCTTGGTTTAACCAAGGTTTTTCTTTCCTTTTTCTTTTTCTTTACTTAATATATTTTTTTCGTCTCAAAATAATTATTGATAAAATATTTATGTTAATGCAAAAGAAGTTGTACATTTATGCAATGAAAGCAATTTTTTTTGCCTTATCAGGCCCTTGCTGCAGAATTGGCACCAAATACTCGTGTAAATTGTGTGGTACCTGGCATCATACCGACACGCTTTGCAGGATTTATCACTAGCAACGATGTTGTTGTAAGATTGATTGATTTTATTTTTATTTTATTTTAACAAAAGAGTACATTTTGTTGAACACACTTATAATTGTATGTAATTTTTCTTTTAAAATTAAAAAAGTACATTTCATTGATTAACACACTTAATTTTTGGTGGGAAGGATTATTTTTCATGAATCAAAATTTTTAAAAAGAAATCTATTTAACCATACATAATTTTTATTTTGGGAATTTGTATTTGGCTTGCTGAAATGATGTTGGATTGGCTTGTTTTGTAGAGAAATTACTTCAAGGAGATGACATATCTCAAAAGGCTTGGAACCACTCATGAAATAGCCGCAACCATTGCATTCTTGGCGTCCGACGATGCTTCTTACATTACCGGTGAATCTCTGGCTGCCATTGGAGGATATCCTTGTAGACTTTAGCTTTACTAGCCAAATTTTTACACCACCCGATTGTGTCTTGTGTGTAATAATACTTGCTCCAATCATATTTATATGGCATAACTTGTTGAATAAGTTGTTACATTACCTTAAAACTCATGAGTTGTATATTCAACAGAATGGACAATAATTTTATACCAAGGAATGAATAAGTACATCTTTTCTGATGGATGCTAGAAAATGTTAATTTGGTTTGTTTATCTAAACTGTTTAAAAGTTTCTAAAGTCACTTCCGAATTTTTTCTTCCGGTATAAAATAAAAGGACATTCGCAGTCAATGAAGAAAATGAGTCAATTGAATATCTCCTCATCTCTGCTAGCCAAAAATTAAACAAACGAATATCTTTTTCCTTTCTCCCCCAAAAAAAGGGAAGCTGGTACGTTGACTTAATAAATTTGTAGAACAAACATTCATGTCGAAAGATATTTATTTGAAGTATTTACCAACTCGTGCAAACATCAAATTATTAGATGTGACCAAGGATCAAACCCGGACATGAACATGCAGCAGTGATTAAAATATTTTTTTGAGAGTTTTGCTTTATGAAAGGAACCCACCCAAGTTGAATCCAGATTAATTGGAGTAATGACTTTGAACACCGAATTTGTAATATACTGATGAAGTCGAAATCCACACAGTGCTTTAGGACGACCGACGACTAAGGATTAGGGTTTAGAGAGAGTAAAAAAATAAAGATAATATTATTACTATATTGCTCAGAGAGAACTTTCCCCAAATAAGAGAGAGGCCACCCCTTTATATAGGGGTGGATTACATAGTTAAGGCGGTTCCTGGTTATAGTAGGTTTAATAGGTAATTTACAAGAAGGTGGTGGCTTAATTTCCAAGTAACCTAACCCTTGGCCTAGGGCTAGGGTTTAATTCTAACTCGTCAAGTACCCCTAGCAAGGCATCTTTTCGAGATTTGATGAGAGAGATGGGTTATTACAAATGTTGATGTCTTCGAGTTTGGTAGTGTTTCCCCAGTTCTCAATCTGTTACGTTCTCGGGTGCACACCCAATTAGAAAAACATGTAGGGGCCTTGAGGAGGTCTTATGGCGCCTATGTTTCTAAACGATAGAGTTAACAACTCCTAAAATTAGGAGATGAGACCGGCGGCCCTTCCTTGTGGTGTGGGCCGAAATATTCTTCTCCAAATGGGCCAACTCCATTTATTGATAGTACATTAATAATTTTGGACTTGTAATCTTCAAGCTTGTCACTTTCGTTGGCACAACTAGTTGTTATGAGATTATTAACTACAGTCTGCATCTTCTTGGCTCTTGAACGAGTCACTAGACCTCCAATATTGGATAATGGATCTTGAGCACGAATATTGCTTGGGACTCCTTCGATTTCCACATCATAGACCTTAGAGCAATACCCAAGGAAGCCAGTGTCTTGGAATGGATACAAATACATGCCTATAGGCACAGATTGCTATGATTTCAAATGAATCGTCTAAGCTGAGAACTTACTTAGTGAAACCGAAACTGACTCTTGTGAGCTATGCAATGGAGCTACAGAGTTTTGAAAATCGCCCTTCTGAACTTGAAGCAGTTCAATTTGTCAGACATTGCAATGCAGGGGATTACAACAACTTCAACAATTGGAGAGGACAAGAAGGGAAAAACTGCAACAATAATCCATAACAACGAGGTTATTTGGTCATCCAATTTGGTCATCCAAGTTCCCACCCATCTGAAGAAAAAAAAACTGAAGTTTAAATGAAAAAGCAGTAACAATAGTTTAATGAAAGCTTGAATATTGGAAATTATTGGTTAATCTGAGTGTAATCTTGAATCAGCAATTTGGAAGATGGATCTTGAATCTTGTTTTTTGAAATTGAAAAACTATTGAGGATGCAGCGTGAGGGCTTCTTCTTTTTTTTTTTTTTTAATTTTTTGTCATCTTTTGATAACATAAAACATTTTCCTTTGTTTTTGAAATAAACACGTAATAGGGATTGAGGAATAAGAGTGGATGTGGGCCACTTAGTCAAGAGTCTTGAGAGGACAACATTTGAAAAATTTTTTAATAAAATGATGTCATTTTGTTTCAATAAAAAAAAACCAACCCATGGCCAGAGTTGGGCAGAGATGGGTTGAACTATGGCCATTGAAGGTGCACTGGAAAAGATTGCAAGGAATAATATTTGCTGGTAACAAAAAAATTTTTGGCTGGACCCAAGCCTCCTCATAATTCCGTCCCTGAGTTTATGACTTCCACCCTAGAAGAACATAACCGAAAGTAATTGTCCAAGCAATTGTAGTCTACCTTCCATGTTCTTTTTCCTCACCTCAAAAAAAAAAAAAGGTTTTGCAATAGTGTCACGTTTATCATCGAAACCACAAATGGAAAACGATAAAGTATGCTTCAATAGTAGTTTATCTAAATGAATTTCAACCCAACAACAAGTTAGGATAGTTGCATCTCGGACAGAAGTTGACCCCTATTCCAACACATAATTAACAGTTTTTCCACCAAATTTAACATTATCTGCATAACTAAGAATGATAGTCATTGTCAATTGGCGCCTCTTACTAGGGTAATCACGAGTCCTTTCTGACGAGGACTCGCAATTGTACTCGGATCGACGGGTATGAACACATCTCCATTGTATGTTAAAACCATTAGCGTGATTCCAAATGAATGACTATGAGCATGGAACAATAAGTACAAAAAATATGAGCACACAAATATAGTCTAAAAATTTATTTATTAGGGTAATGCATGAACCAATTAAAGATTATGAAACCAAAGTTAGAAACTCTCACTAGACAATTATATTGCCAGATGGCACAACACTCATTTGAGCAAGACGATAAATGAAGACAATTAAGTGAAGTATTTTGTTATAATGGAGTTTGTCCAAATGTACCCTTTAACATTTGAGCAAAAACTATATTCAGGATGCACAAATACCGGTTGAATCTCAAGAAGTAGTTGCAATACTAATTCCTTATTAATATTTTCTTTTGAATTCTACCAACTGATTAAAGTTAGCAGAACGGATGTTCTTGAATTACATAACTTAGCATATTGTAGAATGCGATGTACTTGTCTAGAAATCTTGATATAATATATTAATTACATGGACCTTTTTTCTTAAAAAAAAAACTTAATGTCAATTGTTGTTTGAATATCCAAATTGTTGCAGTGTTGTCACAACATAACTTTAATAGTATTTTAACACCATATCGTATTTGCAGCCTTGTGAAAAATTTGCAAACATCACTGTTAATTAGATGTCTCAAAACAAGCTATGTACCAAATTGTATACAGGAGTAGCTAAAATTCTTTGGTTACACTTTCTCTAAAATAGTGTTTGATAACACTTTATCCTACAAGCACATAAACATAATGTGAAAAGATCTAAATTCTATAAGCATCAACATAATCGGAGTTAGGCAATTGAATGATCTTTAACTGAACCAAACTCTGATATGTGAGCCTGTAATATTTAATGCCTTAATGATACCGCGAAATCTTTTGGTGCTACTAAATATCTAAATATGAATTCTTAAATTATCTACTTTAAGCTCGCACTAAAATTATGGTGTGTATAATCATCACAATATTACCCTTAAAATCGAATAAGATGAAAACTTAATGAAACCTGAATTGTGAACGGGAAACTTTTTATAAGCCTATAGATGGACTTCCTTAATTTGTAAACCATCAAACAAAGATTCTAATTGTACCAAATATATTATATCAAAATGTCACCATTAAGAAACATTCTGTCAATACCCATCTAATGAAATGTAAACACAAAATGTATCCAATACAATATTAAAATATGGACTTCCAACAATACCAAAGAGAACGTCTCTATCTGATAATTCCATCTTTGTGACTAAATTTCTTAACAAGATTAACTTTAATCTTTTCATACCGCCTTGAATCTCTTGGTCTTAAATATCCCTAGGTTTTGTTTGGTAGTATATGTATTTGGAATTGATTTGGATATCATATCTATTAAATTGATTTGGAAGTTTTGGACATTTAAATCAATGTCAAATCTCTTGTTTGGCAAGAGTATGCATTTGATCCGTATTTGTAATGAAAGTCCAAATTATTTGTTTGGTAATAAAAAAATTTTGAGTAAAGTATAGATTTTAGTTGTATAGGCTTTTAGTTTTTGATGATTGCATTTTTTTGCCCGGGGCCCTTTCTTGAAACACAAAACCAACTTATTTTTTCCCCTCTGAAGATACTACATTCTTTCTGATGTAGAGTTGTATGAAGTATTCCCATAATCCAAATGCAAAAACTTTTAAAAGAAAATAGGACAAAGATGGCCAAGCAACTCTTCTTGCACTTTAACCAATTCTAATGGTGAAGAGATAACCATATCATATATAGATGTGATGCTTCCTTTCAAAGAACATGCATAAGCAATACGACATGTATTTTGCAGGAGATAACCAATTCTGAAGGGTCACGAATGAACAAAAAGAACAGTCTTCAAAATTATTAAATTTTAATATACTTAGGACACCAAAAATTTTACCTTTCTTTTCTCATAAAAGGTAACCCTTAACTCGAAGAAGTCCTCCAATACTGCATGTTAGAAATATACAAGATCATGAGATTATCAATCAAATGTTAAATCAAATATTCATGTCTTGTAAAATCATAGGCAATGCAAATACATACTTTCCGCATGGTCTTCATATTCCTTCACATCACCACCACAGTCAATTTCAGGTTTCTCATGTTGATTATGGAAGTAAGCTTGAATTTGTCGTGCAAACCGTCCTTCTCGGCCTTAAGCAGATTGTCCTCGAACATATAAATTTCAAAACAAAATGAAGTGTCATCCGGGAAGTCCTTAAAGTCCTATCACACAAAATTCATCCACATTTACAAGATAGATGAAGTAATGTTACATTTTTACACGGTAAACATTAGCATATCTCGATGGACGGGTCCTTGCCTTTTCCATTTCCAGCCATAATCCTGAGTCCACTTCCTA